GCAACCCCAGCAGTGCCCACTAGATGCCGCTGCCCTTGCCTTTTAGGCTGGTGGGGGAGTAGTGCTAAGGCTCTTACCTGTGTGCAGCCGCTGGAGTAGGCTTCTCTGAGCAAAAGCCCTCTGTGGTCCTGGACTCACTTAGGCACCCCCCATTCACTTCCTGTACCAGCATCTCTTAGAAAGTCATTACATGTATGCTTTTAGAAAAGTTAACAGTTTTATTATAGAAATCAGATGAGCTGTAGACATCAGAATTCTACCAACAGAAGACTCGAACTGGTGCATGTAACGTGTGTATGTACATTTTGCACATGTACGTGCATATTTTTGAAATCACACGTCTCCATTATCAGTATTATCATTTGCTTTTTCTCTCCGCAACAAAACATTACTATTTATCCTTGTCAGCAAATATTTATTCTAGCACAGTCTACTGTGCTGCACCCTAACCACATAGATGTGCTGTTACGTTTCACCATATGCCACTCACTCCACATCCGGTTTGTTGGTTACTTAGACTATTTCCTGGTTATCTCTGCTTTTCATGGTTCTGTGATCAATGCAAACAAACAAATTTAAGGATTGTTTCCTTCTTTTATCCTGAGTGCAGTGGGGGTGTGGACCGCTGGGCTCCTAAGCATGCGTTCCAGCCTTGACTGCCTGTTGGAATGGCCCAGAGCTTTCTGTGGATTTTCTGTTTTGTTTTCGCGGATGGACCTCAGAACCATGTACAGGTCAGGCAAATACTCTGCCGTCAAGACACATATAGGCATTTGGTTTTGGTTTGCAGTGTGTGTGTGTGTGTGTGTGTGTGTGTGTGTACAGATTTCTACATTTGTATTCATTTAGTGGGTTAACGTTGTATGTGGTCATTATTGCTGTTTTTTTTTGTGAGATGGGGTCTTACTATGTAATTTTTAATTTTTTTTGAGAAAATGTTTATATAACAATCCTAGTTGTACTGGAACTCACTCTGTAGACCAGGCTGGCCTCAAATTCACAGAGATCCACCTGTCTCCATCTCCTGTGTGCTGGGATTAAAGGTGTGCACTGCCACGACCCAGCTCTTATTATGTTGTCTTTGTGTTTTTGTTTTTGAGACAGGGTCTATGTATTTCTCTTGTATTCAACTGTGTAGAGCAGGCTGGTTGCAAACTCACAGAGATCCACCTGGGAGTCTGTAGAAAAGATAAAAAACTTAGGAAGAGAATTTTTCTTAGGTACTAGCAATTGAAAGAAGGGGGTGTCTGACCTGTTTGAGGTGAACCCAAGTCATTTATTATGTTTACAGTATTCTCAGTATTCTGTCTGCATGTATGCCTGGAGGCCAGAAGAGGGCACCAGATCTCACTACAGATGGTTGTGAGCCACTATGTGGTTGTCGGGAATTGAACTCAGGACCTTTGGAAGAATAGGCAGTGCTCTTAACCACTGAGCCATCTCTCCAGCGCCCCCCCAACAAACTTTTATCTTTTATGTTTATATAAGCAAATTTTAAAGCTCCTGTTTCTTCCCCATCATCATAGCATCACCTTAAAATTCAAGAGAGACTGGCAGTTGATTTCTGCAGGTACCTGGGCATGCTTGGTGGTCTTTATGCCTCCAGGTCCATGGCTAATGGCTGGCCGTCCTGTAACAATAGCTAATTGGTTTGATTCAGAGTTTTGAATGAGTCATTGGTGATAGAGAGGAGATTGATGAAGCAGGGTGCAATTAATAGAAACAGGAGAATGTGGATCAGCTGCGGGGAGGTAGAGGGGTCAGGAAGGAAAGCATATGGAGCTCTCCATCCGGCAGAGTACAGTATTTCATTCTTCTGAAACCGCAGACAAGACAGTTGATCTTGGTGTCCTCCACAGCTTACTGTTGTAGTTACCGTGTGCGAAGGAGTATGAGTGTGAGGTGGAGGGGTGAAGGGTTTGAGATGACATAAATGAATCCAATGAGGGAGGCCTTCAAGCTTAGCAGCTGTTGGGAGTTATAAAAATTATTTTGAAGGGGCTCCACCACTTAGGAGAAAGGGGTGAGGTTGGTCTGGAGGAGAGAGAAGTTGGTCTGATTTCTGATGTTGATTGGAGATGGACAGGGGTTGGTATACAGTCGAGGTAGGGTGTAGTCGATGAATTTCCACAGGAGGGAGTGGAGGTGATAAAGGAGGGACGCAAGCAGGTAATCAGGGAGAGGAGAAGGTGTAGGTGAGAGACTGGGAGTTAGAACTAGGGTCTCATATGTGAGTTCAAAGGGCCAGATGGAAAGGGATCATTTGGCCAGAGTCCAGAGCCTGAAAGGAGCCAGAGGCAAGAGCTTTACCCAGTCAAGGTGAAGTTCCTGTGAAATTTTAACTAGAATGTTTTTTCTCTTTTCCCCTCCTCCTCCTCCTCCTCCTCTTCCTCCTCCTCCTCCTCCTCTTCCTTTCTTCTTCTTTTTAAAGTAGGAGTTAGTTTGTTCTACTTTCCCTGAGAACTGGGAGTGGTATGGGGATATGAAAATGCCAAGGGATGTTGGGAGCTTTAGATAGAGTTTGAGAGATCTGAGAGGTGAACTCAGGACCATAGTTCTGACTGAAGAGAGTCTGGAACTCCAAATCACGGAACAATTTCCTGGAGAAGGATGTTACAAGCTGTCTGGGCCTTCTTATTAGAAGCCAGAAATGCTTCTGTCCACCCTGATAATGTATCCACTAATACCAGGAGATAGTTCCCACGTCTGACTGTGGGGATGTGGGTAAAGTCAAGTTGTTAGTCAGTCCCTGGGAGAGAGTCCCTGGCCTGGGTAGGAAAAGGGAGGCTATGCTACCTGGGATTAGGGACTGACATCTGATAGATTTTATAGGAGGCACAGATAGTTTTTTTTTTTTTTTTTTTTTTTTTTGCAGATAGTTCTTAAGAAATGCAAGCCAGGAGTGGGCTGGAGGTGAGCCTTGACACAATGAGACAGAGTCTATTAGGACAGAATCTGTCGAGTGTCAGGGGGTGGTTGTGAGGATGCGGATTGCAGTGGGTGGAGTCCCCGCAGTGGGTGAGGTGAATCTAGCCTTGGAGGGCAGAAGCTCTAGCTGCCTCATCAGCCCGGCTGTTTCCCCTAGAGATAATGGAGCTGTCTTCGGATGAGACCAGCAGTGAATAATCCCAGTAACCTTGGGGAGATGGGAGGCTTTTCGCAGAGCCACAACTGGGCCTGAGTTAGTTATGGGTACTCCTTTTGTTGTTAAGTCGCCCATGCTCTTTCCAGATAGCAGCGTGGGACAGGAGGATATGAAAAGCATATTTGGAGTCTGTGTAAGAACATTTAGGGATCAACCCTGTGTCAACTGAAAGGCACAGGTGAAAGCTATTAATTCAGCCTGTTGGTTAGTAGTATGGGCGGATAGTACTGTGCCTCCTCCACCCCAGTATCTGATACCAGGGCAAAGCTTGCTTTTTGGGCCCACTCATGTAAAAAGGAGCTGCCATCTGTGTACCAGGTACAAGTGGCCTGAGGCAGTGTGCCCTCCTGTATGTGTGAAGGATGGGGAAGTAGTTCCTTAAGGGCTTCAATGCAGGAATGAGATGGAGGAATAGTCAGTATTAGGTTGATGGAGGAGATTTGAGATATTGAGGGGTGGGCAGGATTGGAAAGTAAGTGTGGCATCTTCTACTAGGGCCACTTGGAGAGAAAGAACTCAGGAAGGAGGTAAGGTTTGTAAGCCGTTATAGGGTTCAGAGATGGGACAGGTTGGGGTGGGAGAAGATAGTGGTGGGTGACCCAAAGGTTAGTTTTTTTGGTTCACAAATAAGGAGCTCAGCAGCTGCTAAAGCACATACAGTGCCCATCTGTAGGTGGTAAGGTCTAGTTTTCGCCACAGGTATGCTACAGATGCACAGGAAAGCCCCAGCTGGTACCTAGAACATAACACATATGCCCTAGAAAAGGGCATATCCTTCTTTTCCCATACACAGAGGGAGAAAGGATGAGTTAGGTCTGGGAGATGAAGGGCTGGAGCCTGGAGCAGAGCTTGTTGCAGTTTTTGAAAGGGCTTAGTGAAAGCATTGAGAAGAGGTTCATGGAGGGGGCCCAGAGTTGCCTCATATAACGGGAGGGCCGGGAGGGAAAAAGATCCAAGAAAGCAGGAAAATTGGACCTTTATCTGCATTACGGTACCTAGGGGCCACAGCGTCAATTTAAGTGAAAACATCCCACTTGAAGGAGCTGGGATCCCCGAAAGGGGATGGTTGTGATGGTTGTTTTGGGGGTAAACCAGTCCACAGGTAAGCTTAGGGCTGCTACCGGAGCAAATGGAGATATTGGGAAAGAAGGGATTTTATTGCTCTATTGTCCATTTGAGGGACAAACAGGGGAGACCACCCCAGTTGAATTTGAGGATACCAACCTGTGAGTCTACACAGGCAGGACCATTAGGTACCAGGAGGACTCTGCCAATATCATGCTTCTGGATCAATATGCCCACCCTCCTGTCCTGGTGAAGCTGCTAGCCCGGAGAGGAGACCGTGCAGAGGTCAAAGTCACCCTTGGTCCCACTTTTGCTGCTGGGCAGAAGGTTAGGTGTGTTCCCTGTGCCCCAGACCTCCCCAGCTTGAAATGGGGCTTCTCATGGGCCATTCTCTCCCTGTGGAGAAGTCACACCCCTGTTAGGGCTCCTTTTATTCTCTGTGTGACCTAAGATGGTCAAAAGTATATGCAGGCTGATGAATTATCCTGGATCAAGAAATACCAGGCTAGTTATGAGATAGACCAGTTATATTTTTCTTTATTATAAGGGGCAAACTCACGAAACAGGAACGAGAAGGCCAAGCTCTGCTGTGTAGTGTGGGAACCCAAAAGTCACGCCCTGACTTGGTCCCACCCCTTAAAGACCATTGGCTGACAAAGATTCCCCATCACTTCCCCCTTTTGTCTAAATAAGAGTGATCCAAACCCAATTCAAAACTATATACAATAGAAACAGATATCAAGTATAAAATTACAACCAACAGAAATAATATTAAGCAAGCAACACATGCTAAATGTTTAATAATCATTTTATTTTAAAGAGTCTAAGTCTTGCATCGGACATAACTGGTCATTGCTGTCAGGGAAGCTTCCTAAATCCATTTTGCTTTCTTTGAATTGAGCCTATGGAGGACTCTACCAAGAGCAGGAATGAAATCCCTATGCAAAAAATCTCCCAGATTGAGTTCTTCCCAATTTTGATAGCTAAGTCCCCTCTCTACCACCTATTCCTAGGAACAATAAAATTTCCTCTTAGTAGAAGGGACTGTAAGAGAGTGGATTATGTTCTTTCTGTCTAAAGTAATAGCTTTGTGAATTAGGGTAATGGTTAGTCCTAAGTAGGTGACCCGAGGAGTGGACATTTTGGCCTTGGGCGGTGAGACTCTATAGGCCCTGCTGGACAAGAAATTTAGAAGAGCAGAAGTATTAGTTTGGCTAATTTCTAAGGATGGACTGCAAAGTAAAATATCTACATACTGTATGAGTTTAGATTTGGAGAGACAGGGAGAGTAGGTCAGAAGCTGGGGTCTGGCCAAATAGATGTGGGATCTCCTGGAACCCCTGTGGTAGGACAGTCTGGGTGAGCGGTGTCAAGGTCGGTCTAGGCGGCAGCATGAGGCTGAGAGGGATAGAGAAAAAGGCATCCTTGAGATCCACAACCGAGCAAGCGAGAGGTCCCTGAGGAGCTGGTGGAAAGAAGGGTGTAGGGATTAGGCACAATGGGATAAAGTGGGATGAATGCAGAATTAATGACTTGGCGGTCTTGAACTAGGCGGTAGGTCCTGTTAGGTTCCTTAGCTACAAGTATAGGAGTGCTGAAAGGAGAAAAGGTGTGCAAAGTAGCTTTTTTCTTAGAAGGTCAGAGATGATAGGCACTGGCCCCTTAAGGCTCTGGAGTGGGAGTGAGTAGTGAGTGATGGACCACAAGGGGTCCTGGAATTGGATGACAATGAAAGCAACACATGGACAGAAGGACCTCCTACACCAGGAACCAGTTAGGAGGAGGAGGAGAGGAACTGTTGGTGAATCTGGTGTCAGGTGAATAGGGGGAGCAAATGAAAAGCTCCTACTTTGGCTAAGAGATTCCTTCCCAGGAAGGGCACAGGACAGGTTGGTACTACCAGTAATGAATGAGAGGAATATCCCTGAAAATGCAATTGAGTAGTGGGATCTGATGAGGTCGATAAGGTTGTCTCCCTACTCCAACAATAGGGAGATGAAAAGAAGTGGGTCCTCAACTTCCCCAGGACCATGTATGTGGCATCAATATCCAAGAAAAAGGAGTTGGATCACCCTGATACCATCATGTCCACCCAGGGCTTCCTGTCAGAGATGACAGTGGCTGGATCAAGAAGACCCAAGTATCCTCAGACATTCATGGCCAGGGCTAGGAAATTGGCTTGAGGGTGGTCTGTGTTTGATGTCCCCATGCCATGAGGTACACGAGGGCAATCCACTGACCAGTGTCCCTCTTGCTGCCGCTTTGGACACTATATGGCCTATGGGGATTAGGGAAAGCCTGGGCCCAGTGTCCATCTTGACCATACTTGAAACAAGGACCAGGTGGTCCTCGAGCCCCAGAGGGCAAGGGATCCTGGGTAGATTCTGAGTTGGGTCGGATGCCCTTGGTCAGCATCTGGTACTTTTGTTAACAAGCTTTCTCATCTCTCATGGTACACCTTAAAGGCCAGTGCTAAGATTCTGTCTGTGGGAGAAGGGGACCCTCTCTCTAGATGCCTAAGCTTAGCCCTAATATCAGGGAAGCTGTGGGGGAAAAATAGGTCATAAGAAGTTGCCTGCCCTCTGGGTTTTCAGGGTCTAAGTTTAGTACACCATAAGAGGGTCTTTGTGAGGCATTCCAGACCCTGAGATGGATTTTTTTTTTTTTTGATTTTTCGAGACAGGGTTTCTCCGTAGCTTTTGGTTCCTGTCCTGGAACTAGCTCTTGTAGACCAGGCTGGCCTCGAACTCACAGAGATCCGCCTGCCTCTGCCTCCCGAGTGCTGGGATTAAAGGCGTGCGCCACCACCGCCCGGCTCCCTGAGATGGATTTTTATTTCCAGGACAAGTTTTCTCGGGGTCGCATCCACTACCCTGAAAGAAGCCGACCTTGACCTCAGAGATTCACCTGCCTTTGCCTCTGGGATTAAAGTCATGCATTGCCACTGAACAGCAAAAACTAGCTTTTGAGAAATGACAAAACCTTCAACAAATGGTACCTGGAATCTAAATACCACAAGTAGGAAGCAAGTAGATCCCTCTTGGTGTTTCCCTGGGGGACACCAGTTCACACACATCCATTCTTCCCATGAACTCCAAAACTCTATAGGTGGCAGATAAAATAACCCAAAGTGCAGGATCCCTCATGGGCTAGCACTTGCTGAGCAGGGCTTTAGCACTGAAGAAATAGTGCTACCGATGGCAAGAGGGATGTCATGAAGCTGAGAACCTCAGGTCCAGTATAGGAAATGGTCAAATGCCCACACAATGGGCAAACTCTTTGATGACTTTCATCTGGCAGAGGATTATTGTCTACAACACACCAAGGACTCAGATTTTAAAAAATATTTTGTAAGAAACTCTTTCTCTTTACTAGTTCTAATTTCTATGTGTGTTGGTGTTTTGTGTGAATGCTGGTCTGTAGGTGGACGTCAGAAGTCCTGGACATGGAGTTACAGACAGAAGGAAGCTGCCATGTGTGTTCTAGGAATTGAATCTAGGTCCCCTGTAAAGGCTGCTGGTGTTCTCACCCACTGAGCCATCTCTACAAGCCCCAGAATTCATTTGTTAAAGAAGATAACACAGAACCATTTCAGACTATAAAAGGTCCAGCAAAGCGAACGGCTGAAGTCCAGCATCAGCAGGCCAGAGACACTGGACAGGAGAGGTGGGGTCAGCCTCTAAACCCACCCAGGAGACTTCTCTCAGGGAACAAAGTTCAATTCGGGTTATTTTTCTCTTTCTTTTAATTGTCTCTTGATTGTTCTTTTATCCCCTTTATACCACTCTGGACAATAGTTTCTAACCAAAGAAAGATAACCTCACAACCACAACTCATATTTTCCTAAAACAGTATCCTTTTTAAAAAAAGATTTATTTTATTAATTATGTATACAGCATCTGCCTGCAGGGACCCCTGCAGGCCAGAAGAGGGCACCAGATCTCATTATAGATGTTTGTGAGCCACCATGTCCTTGCTGGGAATTGAACTCAAGACCTCTGGAAGAACAGTCAGTGCTCTTAATCTCTGAGCCATCTCTCAGCCCCCTAAAACAGTATTTTTACACAAGAAAACTCACAGTATGATCATAAGTTATATATTTTTTTTCAGGAGCCCACAAGTGGTTAAACATTTTTCTTAGTATTAATTTGCATTAATTAAGATGTGTAATATCAACTTCACCCCAAAGCAATGATTCTTCTATTAACCATTGACAAATTTTAAGCAAGTCAAGCACCTTTCAGCCAGGTCTTTTGACTGGCAGGGAGCTTCCTGTGGCTCCAGTGTAGCAGATTCCTGTCCTATTGCCACGCTACCAAACCGTAAACAAGTGGTCTAGCTAACCATCTAGTTTTCTTTCTTATTTATACACAATATTTCATTTAAATTTCCTTTGGCAACTTTATTTTCTCAGTGTGCTTATCAGATCCTGTGATTCTTTCTGTAAGCTACATGGCCAAGGAACTCAGACCTAACCTTGAGTGTTGGGGTTTGGAGACATAATTGCTTTCTTTGATTGTCAACCCACTTTGCCACAGAGAGAATTTGTGTCTCTACAATGCCTGAAACTTCTTGTTCTGACTCCCCATCCTCAGAAGAACTCACACATGGAAAAGAGGAGGGTATCTTCTTTCTGTCTCTTGTATTTTTCCTTGAAGCAGCTGGCAGAGCAGCCTAAACCATGGGATGTCTCCACGTGGGATGTCTCCATGCCTGAATTCCAACAGAGTTGACACATCTCCCCTTCCCCTTGCCCATTTGCTGTGTAACAGCTTCTGAGGAAATAATAAAGGGCGGTTTGATCAGAAATACTGTCCTGCCATCACTTCTCCTGTCTCTTGCTATTCCATTGCTCTCCCCTAGGCTTATCAGGGACCACCTTTTGCATCCTGCTGGCCCGGATACCCCCTCCCCTTCTCCCCAGCATTAGTTCTTCTTTGCTCTCTTGATGACCACCACTGCCGCTCTGACTGCCGCTCTGACTGGGAAAACATGGATCTCAGTGGTATTAGCGCCTCTCTCAGCTGGCTAGCAACGGTGAACATAACAGTTGTGCTGCTGCCTTTGCCAATGACATGATCACTTTGCTGGACCTTTTGTTGTTTGGGTCATCCCATGTTCTCTTCCTTGATAAGTGACTTCTGCATCCTGGAGAGCACCAGCTGCCTGTCCAGAGGACCCAGGTTAAATTCCCAGCACACACTTGTCAGCTCACTACTGTGTAAATCCAATTCCAGGGCATCTGACACCCACACACAGACAAGCATTCAGGCAAAACACTAATACACATAGAAATCAAACGTAAGTGAGACAAAGAGTTTCTTTAAAAAGATTTTTTTAAAGGCTGAGTGCTTTGTGGATTGTAGACACTAATACAATACCAGATGAAAAGTTATCAAAGAGTTTCTTCTGTTCGGTGGACATTAGACCACTGCCTTTGCTGGACCTGAGAATTTCAGTTTCACGATGTCCCTCTTGCAGTTGGTAGCACTATGTCTTAGTGCTGAAGTCCTGCTCAGCAAGTGCTTGCCCATGAGGGATCCTGCGAGTTTGGGGTACTTTTTCATCTGCCACCTTTAGAGTTTTGACTTCCATAGGAAGAATTGATCTGTGTTGAATGGTGCCCCTATAGGGTCATACAGAGTGAGAGCTAGGTGCATTCTGCTTGTGGCTATTCAATTTTTAAGAACCATTTGTTGAATATCATTGTGTCATTTCCCAAAAGTTTATTTTTCATTTTTTATTATTTTATTGATTTTTATTGATTTCTATATTTTTCTCTGCTCCCCTCCCTACCTCTTCTCCTCTGCTTCACACCTCTGGCAAGGTCCCCATGCTCCCAACTTACCCAGGTGATCTTGTCTTTTTCTACTTGCCATGTAGATTATAGTTATGTAAGCCTCTCAAGTGTCCTCATTGTTGTCTAGATTCCCTAGGGTTGTGATTTGTGGGCTGGTTTCCTTTGCTTTATGTTTTACAACCACTTATGAGTGAGTACATGTGATGATTATCTTTCTAGGTCTGGGTTACCTCATTCAAAATGATGTTTTCTAGCTCTATCAATTGCCTGCCAAATTCACCTTAACCATGACGTCTTGATATATGGTATCTGACGCAGACGGGTCCCCGTTCCTGGGCTCCAACCTCGCCTCCATCATAGGCTCCACAATCATCTCTGCCCTCTGCTCTGGACCCATAAACATTGTCAGCTCTGGACCAGAACCCTTTCTGGGTCTGGAACACACACCTGTCCTTGGCTGCACACTCACCCCATTCACCTGTTGCAGTTTTGCGTCAGATCTGGACTCAAACCCTTGGTCGGATCCGGGCACGCCCCCTTAGTTTGCAGCAGATTCCAACAGTTCTATGGAAGCGCTTTCGCCCCTGTGGTCGGATCCGCACTCTCCTCCTTGGTGGTCTGCAAGGGAACCTCTGCTCCATTGTCTCCATCGCTTGGGCAGCACTTGGGCGGGGAGGACAGCAGTGCCTGCACTGGGGCAGGCAGCATATCCTGTTACAGGCTCCTCCAGGCCTGGGTATTTGTAGTCATGAAGGGAGGCGGGGTCAGAAAATGGCGAAATTTCAGAAAAGAAACCGCGGCCTCTAGACGTACAGTATCCGGCGCAGACTGAGTTCTGGCAAAACAGCGACGCCAGCGGCCGGCGGTGCAGCCGGCATGCTGAACTGCGTTTGGCGTCAGTAGCGTTTCTGCTTCTGCCTGGGTCTTCTCCTTTGACTCCGGTGAGAGTGAGAAACGGACGTCCCGCGGTGGACCCGCCGCATCGTCCGGGCGTCCGGACGGGACCCGTCACCGTTGTCAAGCGGGGGACTCGCCGCATGGTCCCACGGTTTCCCACGGTAGACCCGCCGCGTTGTCCCGCGGTGGACCTGCCGAGTCATCCGGCGGTCCGGACGGGACCCATCCACGTCGCCCGGCTGTGGACCCGCCGCACGGTCTCGCGGTGGACCCGCCGCACGGTCTCGCGGTGAACACGCCGACTCATCCCCCCGGTCCGCAGGGGACCCGTCACCGTGTCCCGCGGTGGACCCGCCACATGGTCCCGCGATGGACCTACCGCATCGTCCGGGCGTCCGGACGGGTCTCGTCCGCGTCGTCCTGCGGTGTACCCGCCTCGTCGTCCCAACGTCCGGATCGGACCCTTTATCGTTTTTAGGCGGTCCTGACGGGACACGCTGAGTTCCGGCGCCACAGCGACGCCAGCGGCCGGCGGTGCAGCCGACATGCTCAACTGCGTTTGGCGTCAGTAGCGTTTCTGCATCTGCTTGGTTCTTCTCCTTTGGCTCCAGTGAAAGTGAGAAATGGTCGGGTAGCCTTGGCCCGGCATTTGACCGCAGTGGGTCCACGCGGAGGGTCCTTAGCTGCGTCGAGACCGACCGCTACAAAAGGAGGCGACGAAAAAGGCCGTCGGAGACAGGGCCATACTCGAGTCCTGAGTCCAGAATGTCCCCAACACCGTTGGCGCTGGGAATGCACCGCCGGCGAGAAGGAGATTCGGCGCAGGGGAGGGTGCGGGGGTGGGGGGCTGCGCAAACACCGAATCCGTCGTCTTCCACGCGGTTCTAGTCGGATGCCTTGGTACCCTTGCGCGACAAAAACGTGTCTTTGCCCACGGAAGCTGGCACTTAATCTGCTACGGAACGGGATCGGGTGAAGTTACAGCGGCGTGTATAGAAACCACAGAGAACCGAACGTAGAGGACGCGAACACGGGAAAGAAACCGCGTCCTCCTGACCGCTATAGGGTGCGAACTGGCACCATGGCATCAGAGGGTTCTTGTACTGCACCGTTTGTCTCCCGTCGAAGGGAACGCGGTAGGGATGGAATTCCGCAGCAACCGTGGAAAACTGCAGGATGGGGCGCTGTGCACCGCAAAGTGGCACTTGGCCCAGTGCCTGACTCTCAGGGACGCTGGCTGCAAGGAAGTGGCAGGCCTGCAGCTTGGGGTTTGAGCTGAGGACTGGCATCAACAGCCTTTCTGCTATTGGCTAGCACTTCCTCATCACTCCCCCCCCCACCCACGACACGCCACAGCACACCAGACCCAGGTGGTGCCTACCCACCAGTTTCACCTGTGGACCTGAGGAAAGACCACCCTTTTCCCCACACCAGCCTTTCCAGGAATCCTAGAAATATGAGCTTCGGGGTGGGTGTGGTCAGTACCTTTGAGAATTGGCGCGGTTACAACCAAGTAAATTACGTTTATGTATTAAGTAATTAAGAATTGACAGTGACCACCGAAAACACATTGAAGTGTTTATTTTGAGAGGAACCGGCTGCACTGAAGACAACCTGGCTAGGTTTAGGCAAGGATCTTCTTAGCATAGAGCTCAATTTGAAACGCTGAAAGTCTCCCGGAGCTCTCTAAGGGTCTTTGCTCTGGAACACCGGTGTGCAGCAGCCACACAGCACAGCAGGCAGCATATTAGGCAACGAACGCTCTCCGGACTTGCACCCGTCGTCGGCATCGTCGTCAGCATCGTCGTCGGCGTCGTCGTCGGCGTCGGCCTAGGCGTCGTCTGCAGCCTGGAACCCCGTCGTTGGCTCCATCCTCGCCCCCACCGTCGGCTTTGGCGGACCCGCACAGGTCGGCGGCGGCGGCTGCAGATTCGCACACCACGTCGTCGGCTCCGGCCTCGGCCTCGGCCTCGCCCGCGTCGATGTCGGCTCTGCACTGGCCCCCGTGGTGGTCGGCTCCAGAACCGGTGCTCCGTCATCGTCTCCATCGCTTGAGCAGCACTTGCAGCGGGAGGACAGCAGAGCTTGCACTGTAGCAGGCAGCAGAGCCTGCTACAGGCTCCTCCAAGCCTGGGTATTTATAGTCTTGAAGGAAGGCGGGGTCAGAAAATTGGGACTTTTCAGAATAGAAACCGCAGCCACTTGACCTAAGGTATGGTGTACAGACTCACCCCGTTCGTCCCTGTCGCCGGCTCCGCACTCGTCCCCTCGGTCGCTCATCTGTTGCGGACCCATACCCACCGTACGCCCCCGTCCCCCAGCACCTCGGAGCGGTCCTCGGCTGCGCGCTGGCCCAAATCCTCGGCTGCGGACTCGCACCGGTCCACGTCGTCGGATTGGCCGTGCGGATCGATTTCCGCAGCAGCCTTACATACAGAGTTTGATACCGGTCTCTAAACGAAAGGACAGTGGCAGTAAATCAAGGACGCCTTTTGAAAATCACCGTCGGATTGCAGCTCGGACGAGCAGACGTCCGATGAGAATTCGGCTCCGTGCACGAATCCGCGCACTCGCGGACAGCGACACAGTAGTCGGGGAACCCCTTAGTGCTAGCTCCGTGTCCCGGGAATCGCCTTGACGCTGAGTTCCGGCGCCACAGCGACGCCAGCGGCCGGCGGTGCAGCCGGCATGCTGAACTGCGTTTGGTGTCAGTAGCGTTTCTGCTTCTGCCTGGGTCTTCTCCTTTGGCTCCGGTGAGAGTGAGAAACGGTCGTCCCGCGGTGGACCCGCCGCATCGTCCCGCGGTGGACTCGCCGCGTCGTCCGGGCGTCCGCACGGGACCCGTCACCGTTGTCCAGCGGTGGACCTGCCGCATGGTCCCACGGTTTCCCACGGTAGACCCGACGCGTTGTCCTGCGGTGGACACGCCGCCTTATCCCGCGGTCCGCACGGGACTTGTCACCGTGTCCCGCAGTGGACCCGCCACAAGGTCCCGCGATGGACCTGCCGCAACTTTAAGGCGTCCAGACGGGACCCGTCCGCGTCGTCCCGCGGTGGAACCGCCTCGTCGTCGCATAGTCCGGACCAGACCCTTTAGCGTTTTCCGGCGGTCAGGACGGGACACGCTGAGTTCGGGCGCCACATCGACGCCAGCGGCCGGCTGCTTGGCGTCAGTAGCGTTTCTGCTTCTGCCTGGGTCTTCTCCTTTGACTCCGGTGAGAGTGAGAAAAGGTCGTCCCGCTGTGGACCCGTCGCGTCTTCCCGCGGTCCGGACGGGACCCGTCACCGTTGTCCCGCGATGAACCCGCCGCATGGTCCCATGGTATCCCACGGTAGACCCGCCGCGTTGTCCCGCGGTGGACCTGCCGAGTCGTCCGGCGGTCCGGACGGAACCCATCCTCGTCTTTCCGCGGTGGACCCGCCGCATGGTCCCGCGATGGACCTGCCGCGTCGTCCCGAGGTCCGGACCGGGCCGTTTAGCGTTGTCCGGTGGTCCGGACGGGACCCGCCCGCGTCCTCTCGCGGTGGACCTGCCGCATCGTCCCGTGGTGGATCCGCCGCGTCTTCCCGCGGTCCGAAAGGGACCAGTCCGCGTCGTCCCGCCGTAGACCCGCCGCATGGTCCCACGATAGACCCGCTGCGTTGTCCCGCGGTGGACCTGCTGAGTCGTCCTCGGTCCGGACAGGACCCTTTCTCGTCGTCCCGCGGTCCGGACGGGACCCGTTAGCGACGTCCCGCGGTGGACTCGCCGCGTCGTCCCGCTGTCCGGACGAGGCGGGTCCACCGCGGGGACGATGCGGAGGGTCCCGTCCGGACCGTGGGACGACTCGGATGGGTCCCGTCCGGATCGCGGGACGACGGGGATTTGTCCTGTCCGGACCGCGGGACGATGGGTCCAGTCCAGTCCTGCTGATGCGACGAGTCTGCTGCACCGGATACGGGACTAGAGGTTTCGTTTTTGTTTTTTTTTTTTGTTTTTTTTTTTTTTTGAAATTTCACAATTTTCTGACCCCGCCTTCCTTCAAGACTACAAATACCCTGGCTGGAGCAGCTTGTAAAAAGCTGTTCTGCTTGCCCCTGTGCATGCTCTGCTGTCCTCCCGGTGCAAGTGCTGCTGGAGCAATGGTCTGGATGACAGAGCAGCGGGTCCTGAGCGGACAACGGGAGCGAGTGCAGGGCCGAAGATGGGGCCAACTCCGGAGTCTTCTCCTGGGACGAGTCCCGTTCCGAGGACGGGACGATTGGGATGAGTACGTCCAGAGGACGGGACGATGGGGACGAGACGTGTCCCGACGACAGGACTACTGACACCAAACGCAGCTCAGCATGCCGGCTGCACCGCCAGCCGCTGGCGTCGCTGTGGCGCCCGAACTCAGCGTGTTCGTCCGGACGACCGGAAAACGCTAAAGGGTTCGGTCCGGACCTCGGGACGACTCGGCAGGTCCACCGCGGACAACGCGGCGGGTCTACCGTGGGATACCGTGGGACCATGCGGCGGGTCCACCGCGGGACGACGTTGACTGGTCCCGTCCGGAACGCGGGAAGACGCAGCGGGTCCACCGCGGGACAACGCTGCAGGTCCACCGCGGGACTACGCGGACGGTTCGGGTATGGACCAGCGGACAACGGTGACGGGTCCCTTCCGGACCTCGGGACGACGCGGCGGGTTCACCGCGGGACGACGCCGATGCGTCCCGTCCGGACCGCCGGACGACTCGGCAGGTCCACCGCGGGACAACTCGGCGGGTCTACCGTGGGAAACCGTGGGATCATGCGGCGGGTCCACCGCTGGACAACGGTGACGGGTCCCGTCCGGACGCCCCGACGACGCGGTAAATTCACCGCGGGACGATGCGGCGGGTCCACCGCGGGAGGATGCGAATGGTCCACCGCGGGACAACCCGGCAGGTCCACAGCGGGACCATGCGGCGGGTCCACCACGGGACGACGCGGATGGTTCCCTTCCGGACCGCCAGACGACTCGGCAGGTCCACCGCGGGACAACGCGGCGGGTCTACCGTGGAAAACCGTGGGACCATGCGGCGAGTCCACCGTGGGATGACGTTGACGGGTCCCGTCCGGACCGCGGGAGGACGCGTTGGGTCCACCGCGGGACGATGCGGTCGGGTCCAGTCTAGACGGCTGAACAACGGTGACCGATCACGTCCGGAACTCGGGACGACGCGGCGGAATCGCCGCGGAACGACGCTAACGAGTCCCATCTGGACCGAAGGGCGACGCGGCGGGTCCACCGCGGGACGACCTTTTCTCACTCTCACCGGAGACAAAGGAGAAGACCCAGGCAGAAACAGAAACGCTACTGACGCCAAACGCAGTTGAGCAGGCCGGCTGCACCGCCGGCCGCTGGCGTCGCTGTGGCGCCGGAACTCAGCGTGTCCCGTCAGGACCGCCGAAAAACGATAAAGGGTCCGATCCGGACCTTGGGACGACGAGGCGGTTCCACCGCAGGACGACGCGGACGGGTCCCGTCCGGACGCCCGGACGATGCGGTAGGTCCATCGCGGGACCATGTGGCGGGTCCACCGCGGGACACGGTGACGGGTCCCCTGCGGACCGGGGGGATGAGTCGGCGTGTTCACCGCGAGACCGTGCGGCGGGTCCACGGCGAGACCGTGCGGCGGGTCCACCGCCGGGCGACGTGGATGGGTCCCGTCCGGACCGCCGGATGACTCGGCAGGTCCACCGCGGGACAACGCGGCGGGTCTACCGTGGGAAACCGTGGGACCATGCAGCGAGTCCACCGCTGGACAACGGTGACGGGTCCCGTCCGGACGCCCGGACGATGCGGCGGGTCCACCGCGGGACGTCCGTTTCTCACTCTGACCGGAGTCAAAGGAGAAGACCCAGGCAGAAGCAGAAACGCTACTGACGCCAAACGCAGTTCAGCATGCCGGCTGCACCGCCGGCCGCTGGCGTCGCTGTTTTGCCAGAACTCAGCGTCACCGCGATTCCCGGGGCATGGAGCTAGCACTAAGAGGTTCCCCGACCACTGTGTCGTTGTCCGCGAGTGCGCGGATTCGTGCGCGGAGCCGAATTCCCATCGGACGTCGGCTCGCCGGAGCTGCAATCCGACGGTGATTTTCAAAGGGCGTTCGTGATTTTCTGCCACTGTCCTTTCGTTTAGAGACCTGAATCAAACTCTGTATGTAAGGCTGCTGCGGGGTTCGATCCGCACGACCAAACCGACGACGTGGACCGGTGCGAGTCTGCAGCTGACGATTGACGCCAGCGAGCAGCCGAGTACCGGCCCGGGGTGTGGTGGAGGGTGGGAGCATATGGTGGGTACGGGTCCGCAGCAGATGACCGACGGGACGGGTGCGGAGCCGGCGATCGGGACGACGGGGGCGAGTCTGCGCCGGATACTGTACGTCTAGAGGCCGCGGTTTCTTTTCTGAAATTTCGCCATTTTCTGACCCCGCCTCCCTTCATGACTACAAATACCCAGGCCTGGAGGAGCCTGTAGCAGGATATGCTGCCTGCCCCAGTGCAGGCACTGCTGTCCTCCCCGCCCAAGTGCTGCCCAAGCGATGGAGACAATGGAGCAGAGGTTCCCTTGCAGACCACCAAGGAGGAGAGTGCGGATCCGACGACAGGGGCGAAATCGCTTCCATAGGACTGTTGGAATCTGCTGCCAACTAAGGGGGCGTGCCCGGATCCGACCAAGGGTTTGAGTCCAGATCTGACGCAAAACCGCAACAGGTGAATGGGGTGAGTGTGCAGCCAAGGACAGGTGTGTGTTCCGAACCCAGAAAGGGTTCTGGTCCAGAGCTGACAATGTTTATGGGTCCAGAGCAGAGGGCAGAGATGATTGTGGAGCCTATGATGGAGGCGAGGTTGGAGCCCAGGAACGGGGACCCGTCTGCGTCAGATACCATAT